GCTCCGTGCATACCAAGGTGGTATAGTGAGTGGCCTCTATACAGACATACCGAATGAACCAACATCGGTATCTCGTTATGCTTGGCCCACAACAGGGAGTCCCATTTTAGCACTTGAAGTCGAGTGTCAATGCTGTCAGCTTTTAGTCTCAGCTGTAATCTTCCGGCATAGATACCGTATCTTGAAGAATATCTGCCTGGTCTTTCTTGGGGGGTCATGGGAACCAGCTCACCGCTTGCAACCACACGTCTAGACCAGACCTCAGTTCTAAGGAAGAGACAAGACCATGCGTCTATTTTACGTTTCATGATGTACATTGTTGCACAGATATAATTACACGTTATTCGTACCACCCCTGGCACGCCATCCTCTATCCAATTCTCAACTTCCCATTTTCTGATTTCATTCATTGAGCTGGAGGTGTTGTTGTTGAGGGGGGTATCGAAGTATCTGCAGCCGCCACCTGTGACACACCAGCCTTCTTCTTCTTGAGAGCAGCAGCCTCTTTCCTTTGAGCAAGAATAGCACCAAGCTTCTCCAACATCTCTGGGCTGAGCTCGGGCTCTCCCTCGGCAGCACGCTTTTCGCGCTGCATCTCGTGGAACTCTTGCAGGGGAGTCTGCATAGACTTGATAGACTCCTGTTCGGCTTTCTTTGCTGCTGCCTCGGCCTCCTTCTGCTGCACGTACCACTCCTCGTGGCGTGTTCGGAACTTGGAGAACTTGTTTCGCAACTCGTCGATAACGGTCTCGGGCATTGGAGGAGAAAGGAGATTGTAGTAAAATGTTCGGTTGTCGACAGTCTCACGGATGGTATCACCATCGAAAGTCTCGAATTCTGGGGCCTCAACCTCGGGCCAGGGGATGACAACATTGATTCCAGGAACAATTCGATCCCACTTGTTTCCGTATTCCCATCGGTCGAAGCTCATGTTGGGCGACTTCATGTTCGGGGGAATAGCCTTAAGCTCGTTGATAATGACGTCTCTTGTGACTCCGGTTTCGGGGTTGGCGATAGGATAGACGAGACGAATAGAACCAATCGAGAGGGGCATGGGCTGAGAACGACTGTCATTTCCAAACATACCAGCAGAGATAGCCTAAGAACCATTAGTGTCTACTCAAACCTCGCAAGGCATGGTGCTTACCCGGTGGTAGTTCTCGAGAGTAACATATCCTCCTTGAGGATTGATCGTCTTGATGCGATCAATCTTGCCCTTGTCTGGTCCATCCATGATGACCACACGGTCTGAAATAGCAAGGTTAAGCTGCTTCAGACCACCAGCCCAAGCACATCTCTTAGCCAGAACCTCAGGCCTTGGTCGATAAAGACCATAGTTGGACCAATCTGTTCGTACACCCTCCGAAAACATGCCATAACCATTGAAGCCCAGATCCCGCTTGGGAGCGATAGGGCCCAGCGCCCAGTCCTCCTGTCTCACCCTGCGCGCATCCTGCAGATTCTGTCGGACCTCAGAGACAGCCGCTCGCATGGCTTGTCGGTTTCGAAGCTTGTAGTTGTTCTCTTCAGATTTGGCGGCTTTTTGGGCTCGTCGGCCAGCCTGGCGCTGGGCCTGGGCGACCCGCTTGGCGAGCTTCTGCATGGCAGAAGATGAGCTGCGAGGATATATCGAGGGAATTGGCAGGCTCTAGCAGCTCATTGAGCGGACAGAAGCTGTTGGCGTCGAATTGTCGCTGGGTGTTACGACAATTCGTTGTGGAGTGCGTGGTTGAGCTGGAAATTCTCTACGTCCAACGGAATTAGCCGTAGTAGTGTAGGTGCGGATAATGGCCAAGCACTGTACCCCGCACTATGCTCATGATAGCTTCATGTTGTATTATTGTAAGTGTGACGTCCGGCTGCAATTCGTTTTTAGATGCCTCTCGCTTCTATTTCTGACGAGATAGAAGGTCCCCCTATCTCTTATGCAATTTTCAACACAAAGGCAGATCTGTCATGTTCAAGCAAAGCAGTCTACTTCCACTCAACTTGTGATAATCATGCTTGACCAGGCACAGAGATCTCAGTGACTCTTTCTAAGAATATTCCACTATTCCAGTTCCTATGATCCCGCGACTCTATGTTATGGTAATAATCGTTTTTCTTTCGTCATGCAGCCTCTATTGAAACCGTTCTGGGACGAGAATCATGCAGATATGACAGAATAACTTGCTAATCCAGTATCACCCCGAATAACAACGAAGTATTGATATATCATGAGCTCACACATTGATCAATCATCAAGGTTGGGGTTGCATTGTCGTTGAGAGGCCTCTGAGGATGACCTTCAAGATCAGCACGCATTTGGCGGTCAGAATCACGAATGTGACAGACACGATCAAAAGGTTCTGGCCCCAGGGAGCGAGAAAATCCAAGACTTTAGAAGACAAACCCATCAAAGAACCACCGAAGTTTAGACTAACTTATCTAAATATTCTGTCACTTATGGTTGAGAGCTGCAGCTTTCGTGCCTCACGACTGGATATACAGATGTCCAGGTAATTATCATGACTGACCATAATCATCCGTGATACTTTGTACATATCCCGTCAATCAGGGTCCTTGAGGCTTGATCAGGGGAGGAGGTTGGATGAAAGTCCTACGCTTTTAGGCCAGCGTAGGACTTTTCTGCCCACTGTAAGCTCTTGTTACTGGCCATTCAGTCGCCCTAGGCTTTTGGCTTTGGCACGCGGAGGCGGGATGGCACAGGGCGCATTGCATGACGGACCAGGGGTTAGAAGCTTGTGCCAGCTTCACATCTCTTTGCATAAGATTGTCTTGTGAAGATACCTTTGGCGGTGATTGATGACGCGGAAACACATGAGAATGTGTTAGCGATAGAGGTAGAGAGGAGTCAAAGCAGGAGAGAGAAACATTATCCACTTCCCGATAGTACCTAATCAGCCGGAAATCAAGGTCATCAACTTCAAACGTCTATCAAAAATTTAAAATGGGTGCTATCTTTATGCCATCCACATCAGTTCGAACAGCCGTTGGCGATAGCCACCAGATCCCAGCTGGAAATCACTGAAAGGCAGATCTAGGCAGTCAAGAAGAAGGCTTTCCAATGCTTCCCATCAAAGACAGGTTCAATCGCGGACCTCTAAGGCTGATGTTGGCTGGTTGATTAGCCTCAACCTCTTCAAATGATAGAAACCGAGCCACGGTTTCAGCCTCGGCGCTATGGAGCCTAAAGTGTTCCATCGTGTGTGTCTAGATGAGATGATAATGAAGCACCTAGAGCACCAAGCAACTTAAAGCCAAAAGCTACACCGCAGCAGGACAGTTTGATGGACCAAAGACTGGCTGGTGAGCACGTCAGACCGATAGGAATTGTGCAGGAGGATGGCTGATAGACCGGCGAAGAGTCAGAAAGAGTACCTACCTACCTTGGTCACTTGTGAAGAATGACAACATTAGTAGGTACCTACTCTGTACAGTACAGCTCAAAGAAGCCATCTTTGCAGTTTGCAGCTCATTCTCATTGACCGTCAGTCCGTCAATCAAACTAAACCGGCTTGACCAAACGGCCAACGCCGTTACCCTGGCCCTTGATATTGTCTGTCGTCCAATGTCATCGACCAGTTCATCAAGCAGGCCGGCTCTTATCTCATCTCGTCATCATTATCACTGGCATTGTCTGTTTCAAACTCCCGTAAATGGTCAACGACGCAACACAACGCAACCAACGCATGCAAGCAAAGCAACCAAGCGACCTACCAAATAACAATGGGCCTCCCGCACATCTATCCATCCAATCTGTCCCATCTTGCATCTACCACTGAAAGTTTGGCGGAGCACTCTCGGTAAGATGGATAAACTGGGTCAGTTAATTCCCCTCCTGGGAGATAACTTAGCAGAGGGAGGCTTGTGACGCGCACTGCCCAGAATCTTTCGCACTGTGACCAGACTCCACTGAACACTCACTGAAAAGGAGACGGTGTTAGCGGTTGTTGCCACCCACCAGCCGAAGCCAGGGCCACGCCGTTGGTTGCCTCAGGAAGAACCCTTTCCGCGTAATGTGATGGAGCCGAAGTACCGTTTGTGTGGGAATATCGGTGAAAGTGTACCTTGGCCAAGTGAGTGTTTCTTTTTTGAGCCCAGCCCAGTCCGGGCCCCAGCAGCTCGCAGCCCCAGCAACAGACGGGAGGGAAACAACAAAGCTTGCAGCCTTGTCAATCCCTGGTTGAAGATGGATGTGATGCGATGTTCAGGAGGCTTATCTACGCGGACGGCTGTCGACACCTTCAATATGATAGTTCAAATAAGTACAAAGGATATATGACAGGCTAGAGGCATATAGCATTAGCCAAGTGAATCAACCTCCAAACTTGGTTCTGATTCAAAGCCGAAACCTACTTTCAGCTGTCATTGTCTGCTCTAAGCCCGTAGATACCTAGGTAGGCTATCAAAACACAGTGCGGTTTGCAAACGCCTTACTTGTCCTCAACTCAACAACCCTGCTCAACCCCCAGCATCACCGGCACCAAGACCTCTGACACTGGCACTTGGTACTTCAATTCCAGCACTCTTGACGCTCTATTCAGAGGTACCTCTCGTCCTTTGAACTGCCCTGGCTGCCTGCTGTCCTGTGCTTGCCCACCTGCTGTTGGGTCCTATCCTGTCCTGGCGCCCGCCCCGGGCTGTCGCTCCAGTGCCTGCAGTGCAGTCGGGCCCCCAGTCCTAGCGAGAAAAAAACCAAGCCCAAGCCTATTTCACCCAAGAAACCAAAGCCCCTTCTTCTTCCTCGCGTCTCTTTTCTGGCTGAGGTGCTCGCTCTCTCTTTCTACTGCCAGTCCCAACCTGACCTAACCCAACTCATAACTCTCCTCTTTCTCTATCCATCCATCTCCCATCCCCATCGACCCGCAGCCGCCGCTCTCCGCGAAACTCACAACCTGCACCATCTCCCAAGCTCAAGTTCAAGCTCGCATTTCACGCCAGCAACTTCGTCCATTTCTCTCATCTTTTTAACCACAAACCACATCTAATCAATAACCATGGCTGAGATCCGCCGAAAGCTCGTCATTGTCGGCGATGGTGCTTGTGGTAAAACCTGTTTGTTGATGTGAGTTGGCCTTCTATCACGACACGACACGACTTCAATGTCGACCTCCTGTCGCCCATCACGTTCCTATCCATCACCACGTTGGCATCACAATGTCTATTAGACGGAGTCTCAAGAAGAGGGCGATACGATAGTTCTTGGCCTCTTGGACGTTCCAGCACTTCACATCGCTTGACGCCATCAGCTCTATCGTTACCGTGATAGACGCACATGCCCCTTGCTTCACCTCACCGTCCTCCGTCGCCGATTTCATTACCATCATCGCTATCATTATTCTAAGCCACTTGATCAACACAATGCTAATCAATCCTTCAGTGTTTTCTCCAAGGGCACTTTCCCCGAGGTAAGAATTGACTTTGTTGCGGCGTTGCCCTTCAACCTTCGCACGCTTAGCCACGCGGCTTGATAAACAACCTTATCATGCAACGGGCATCACCACAACAACTTTCTTGCTGACAATCCGTCTTTAGGTCTACGTCCCCACCGTTTTCGAGAACTACGTCGCCGATGTCGAGGTCGATGGCAAGCACGTCGAGCTCGCCCTATGGGATACTGCTGGTCAGGAGGATTACGACCGTCTTCGACCCCTGTCCTACCCCGACTCCCACGTTATCCTGATCTGCTTCGCTGTTGACTCTCCCGACTCTCTTGACAACGTCCAGGAGAAGGTTTGTTTGCCCTCCAGTGCCAGATGGCTGGACGTCAGTTACTTTCCATACAGTTTTGCTGACACGTGCTCTTACAGTGGATCTCTGAGGTCCTGCACTTCTGCCAAGGTCTCCCTATCATTCTCGTCGGCTGCAAGAAGGATTTGCGATACGACCAGAAGACTATCGAGGAGCTCCGAAAGACCAGCCAGAAGCCCGTCTCCCCTGAGGAGGTACGAGACACTGCCCCAACAAGCGCCAAATCAAGCTCTCGAAACTTGATTGGCCAGCTTGCTGCACGTCATTTTGAAACATGCTAACAGTTATCGATAGGGTGAGGAGGTTCGCAAGAAGATCGCTGCCTATAAGTACCTTGAGTGCTCAGCCAAGACCAACGAGGGCGTCCGCGAGGTGTTTGAGCACGCTACTCGCGCTGCTCTGCTGTCGCGAAGCACCCGTGGTAGCAAGCACAAGAAGTGCCTTGTTCTGTAAAGGGCGCTATGGAAGCCCTCTGAGCGCAGTCCACGCACGCGTGCCGTGGCTTGACCCTGCGCTGTAATCCTTTGTCGTTCCAGTTCAACCTCAACTTGGCCCCGGCAGATCGGATACGGGTTCGTGGCAGCCAAGAAGAAGAAGGCTGTCGGCATGCATCGGTTTTCTCGGAATCTGGAGTTTGATATCGTCTCGCTCATGTCTGGTCCATCGGCCTACGCGCCGACCCTTCTCGCTGGATTGATGGTTTTCTTGTCGGCAGAGCCCATGGTTTCTTGGACCTCCTGAATCTCGCAGGCGGTTACTTTTCCCGGCAGATACCTCGTCTTTTTTATTATCACCACTGGCATGCGAGCGGGACCTTTGTTTTATGTATGTGCTTGTCGCGCATGGGGGAGGTGGGCCAGATGTCTTTTTTCTTGGGGGGGCTGTTGAGGAGGAGGATGAGGAGTGGCTCTCGTTCCTTGCTCTCCTGCCAGGTCTGTCGGTCACTGCAGACTGACGGATGAGGAACTACCAGGGAGAAGTGTCAGAAGGTCGGGAGAGACTCCGCGGGCTGGTTACGGCGAGAGCGTTTGTGTCTGCTTGTGTGTGGATATGGGGTCCGGCTGGGGGAACCAAGTCGGTCCAGGCCATAAATCTTTTCGTTTTTTCTCTTGAAGCCTCGAGACCGTTACTTAGACCATGGAGATGGGACATCTATTGCGTAGGGCCTGCCTGTTTAATCTCTTGATTTTTTGTATATCCTGTCTATCTGTTTTTGTGATGTTATTGTACCTACAGTCTGCTCTTGAACGACGTGACCATCCCTATCTGAGGACCTATCTAGACCTACCTAGCCTGTCTTGTGTTTGTATATTGTTATGCATTGACATGTCATGTTACACTACTTGTGACTGGCTGCCATTCCTCAAGCAACTTGAACCAAGATGCTTATCCGTCTTGGTATGCGTATCTTGACTGGTCTTATCAAAGACAGTCTCCTTGTCCACGTGCCAATGTCTAGTCATGTGGCCCCCATCCCATGCTAGACTCTTTGATCGGCACCGAGCCTATTTTGGTTTGGGTGATATCAGTGATGTAATCCCATCAATCACTCGCCGTGAGAGTGAGGCAGTCGGCATGATCAGCTATGCGAACGCGTTGCGGCCTTAAGAGGGACACTTCACGATGGACATACACGAATATGAGGTGAATATCAGTCTTGTTTCCTCAGTATCGAGATAAAACAAATGAGCGAGCGAGCGAACGTATCCTCTGCTTCACAATACCACCCAACGCATGCATGAATGAATATCAACCACCCAAGAAAAGAGTGACGCTATCGAACAGCGGCCTCATCACAGCAACCACCCAAACCCCCAACCACACTCCATTGTATGCATCCCTGACCTAGCCTAACACCGGTATAAACAACTTCTCGTCCGTCTCATCATTTCATCGTGAATCTGTCTCTTGGTCTTTGTGGCGTTTAGACGGGGCAGTGCTAGAAGCAGTCAGCATCATGTCAGATAGAGACGAGAGGGCGAGTATTAGACATACAGCACCGCAGCTACCGCAAGTCTTGCCGGCGCCCTCGATGGCGGCGTTGCACTTGGGGCAAGTGTTGTCGTGGTAGTCAACAAGAGGCTGCATCTTGACTGATTGATGTATGAGGAGTATGTGTTGAGAACAGGAAGAAGTGATCAGGTTTTGCTATAGAGAGAGAGAGAGCACTAAAGAGGGGACCACAGAAAGAGGGGAAAGGCAACCCAATATATAACCAACCGTCAACCTCAAACAAATCATTCCCGTCCTCTCTCACACGAGATTTACGTATGTTTCTCTATCCCAAAGCGGGGTTCGTTGATTGTAAGCGCAAATAGCGGGCTTCTGCTTTGTTTTACCCCCTCCTGCTATTCGTTGCGTGTGACACCCCTCTCCTTGTGCTTGTGCTTGTGCTCGTGCCTGTAGCTTCACTTTCTCTATGTGATCCACTTGCTGTGAGGTACGGCCGTAACGTGGCACACTGTATGGATGCCGACTTGTTTTGGAGAACAGATAGTGGAAGTCATGTTGCGTTATCCCGCGGAGGTTGAAGGTTGTGTTGGAGATGGGTGGGGAATGGAGCATCGTGTGAGGAACAGGTCATAATAGCTTCAGCGGTGTATGAAGTAAGTTGTTCTTGCAATATGGATGCTGAGAGTACACAAGGACTGGAAGGAATAGTTTCTCTGAAATGCTGCTATCGTCCAGAAGTATTGGCTTTGATATGTTGGTCAAAGTATGGTGACTACATCGCTAGGTATCATAGCTTCACCTCAGCCATGAGCAGAGATAAGAAGAGCAATAAGAATACGAGTTCATCTACCGAAGAACTGAAAACTCTATAATGATTGAGATATCGATATCACGCCATGCAACTCCTTGCACAATCCAATGTACACGGTACATGGTTTTCTTTGATCTTATTTGATAAATGTCCAACCAAATCATCCGCCTTTTTTACATGACTTATATATCTCAAGCAGCGATACTCCCTGCAGTCACGCATCTTGCCTTCATGCGTACTATCTTACACGCTTGTTGTCCCGGTAAGGGTCTATGTCTGTTTGTGCTTCGTTATGCTATAATGTTGTTTTAATAAAAGTGAAAAGGTAAAGGTAAGAAACGCCTGGTACTTATACGCACTGCGCTGGTCCATCTTTGCCTGTGTAGTGTCAGTACATGTTCCAAAGCCCAATAGTCGAATACACAAATCTTCATAGGGCACACGGGGGAACTCACTGTTGACCATCTTCTGCACAGCCTGGATTACACTAATGACCATGACAATCATGCCAAACACGACCACTGCACCCGCCATATATGTCCGCCAGCTTCTTGTTGTCAACTTCATATAGCACAACGGAGGCAAGATATAAGCCATGGCCACAGCACTCGTGGCTCCAACCAGCTCAAACACAGCACCAAGATCACAGGTCACCAAACTTAGCACCAGAGCTGACGCAACAAGACTCGTACTGAAGAGTAGATGGCGATTCATGTTGAAGGGCTCGTCGGGGAAGAAGTATGTCAACATCACTTCACGACAAACAAATGCCTCCAGGGGCAAGGTGGTGAGCATATTGAGGCCAAAGCAAAGACGTGCAATGTTGACCATGGTGTTGTCTGCTGGAAAGTTGTTGAGAACATTGCCCAATGTCTTGTCACCAAAAGTAAGGAAACCGCCCAGAGCAAGGACAAGACAGAAAACCATCGATATACCAGTTGAGTAGTGAGTGACTCGGGAAAAGTTATCAATGGTAGGTGTCTTGAGAGATCCGTAGATCAGGAGCGAGTTGTGATGGCAAACGAAAGCTACATAGGTCAGCAACTCTGGTCATACACTCCGATTATCAGGACAGGTCCTTACCGAACGAAATAACGCCAATGGCCTGGAAAAAACCGCCATTGAAGAGGAGGAGTGAAGGAGTGAAGGAGCCCCTTTCTGACGAGGGCGTCAGGATACCTTGTATAAGGATGGTGAGAACAATAACCACCATACCAACAAGCGCAAACGTGCTTGCCTTGGCCAACTACCCAGATTCCATTAGTCCAGATTCTAATAAGACGATCCGCAATGTAATTTTCACCTTCGAAATATCCCGATACAGAGTAAGGGGATACGCAATGCCCATCACAAACACCGCGATGGCGACCTGTCGATTTGCCAAAAGTCCTATTACAGGCACATTCGACAAGTTCGGCCACACAGCGACCAGAACATGAGGAATCGTATCGCCTACGATGACACCGTATGCGACCATCCCGCCAAACGCAAAGACCCATTGCGCAACACTGATAGCGATCAGCCCAGAGTGTCCAAAGCAGTGCTCAACTGTTCCTTGAAAATGGCTCGTGCCGCTGAGCTTGCTGTTGATGACAATAAGGCAGATCGTCCAATCCACGACAACCGTCAAGCCTACCAGCAGGAGGATGCCTCCGACCAGTCCGGCTTGGCGCACAGCGTATGGTTGTCCAATGATGCCTGCACCGATGATGGAGTTCGCCATGTTCATGAAAGCTGATTTGAGCCCTGACTTTGGTCGATTCATTTCATGCTCAGCTTGTTCCGACGGATCCCCCATCGAGTTCGCAAGAGCAACACTAGGCGCTTCAATGTTCGTCAATAGCGGCACACGATGCGCCCGCCCCGGACTCGTCGCCTCCTCGACATCAAAGTACGCATCATCTGAGGACCGTCTCTCACGATCCGCAAGCCCGCCAAAAGCTTCTCCATTGCTAACGCCCACGATCTCCGGCGTCAAGTCGAAGCGCACGCGGCTGGGAGTCCGGGGCTGGCCATCAGCTTCAACTTTGCCTGAAGCCTTCCCCAAATCTGCGCTGGCATTTCCACTGCTATAATCGTCATCGCCCACACCAAAATAGTCGTCGTCGTAGTCGTGCCCGTGTTCTAAGAGGCCGCGGTCTTCGCCGTGCGGGTTCGGGGGGCCATCGTTCCTGGCGTGCGTCATTGTCGAAGGGGAGTAGCAAGTTGGTATTGCGTGTACATTTTCCCCCGAAAGAGTAAAGGATTATGTTCGAGTCGCTCGCGTATATGCCAAAAGGAAGAAATAATCAAATAATTAGTGTAAAAGATCGACGGCGAAGCAAAAGGATAGAAAGTCGAATGGTTGTAAGTTGTAAATGGAAAGGTCCTATTCCAAGGATAGGCCGGTTGGTTAGGTTGTCTGTCCTTCCCCCAGATAAGCATGGATAGCAAACATTAGCGTCATTTGCAGCATGATAGGCGCTAGGATGGGCGTAATGCCCCTTGTGAAATCGCTGGAATCGCCCGCTAGTTGTGTCTAGGCTTATGCAGGGGCACGGATCATTCCAAGAGTATTGAAGAGGTGTTAATAAAGGGCGAGGCTTCTATTGAGAAGGTTTGTTTGTTGTTCAAGAAACAATTGAACAGTGACATTATGGAATATCCTTATTTGAGGCATAACGCCATCTCGCCGTTGCTGATCGTGCCT